AATACATATTGCTTTTCCTTACAGTAGAAACCATAGATATGCCTCATTCAACAACTCCAAGCACGTAGACGCGTCCGCCAATCTGTCTTACGTATAGCGGCCCATTCATAGTTTTCAGTCACGTGATTGGCTCGAAGACCTGGGGGCAAAACATCCACAGAACTGCAGCACAAGCCCGTCAATTTTCTATCTGTTCCAATCCAAAAATATTTAGATCACCTCTCAAATGAATAAAACAAAGATATGTGAACACAATGCAAGTTTTGGCCATTAGCAATCCATATAAAGCACCCGCCGCAATATTTCAATCACTAAAAACTAAAAACACTTTAAAAACAGTGATATTAAAAGATCAAATTCAGTACACACCTTATTAATGATGCATGCTTTTTACAGGCAAGCAAATGAGCCTGGAATATGAACGCAATGCGCTAATAGGTTAAGCGTCTTCTTTATAATGCTTTTGTATGGGAAAATATTTCATATTAAACTTTGCACATTACGTTTATATTTTGGGTTCATCTGCTTGACTGTTCAAAGTCTGCATCATCAATAAGGTGTGTACTGAATTTGGCCTTTAAATATTAGGGGTGCTCCGATTTTTGGAGCTGATCACCGATAACCGATCACATAAAGCAATATCTGCCGATACCGATCACCGATACCGATCTTTTAAAGCCTTCTTTTTATCATTTATAACTATTTATAGTGATACTCCAATCAGGTTTTTTCGACATTTATTCAGGGCCTGAATTTCATTTTTGAAAATGGGGGGAATTCCCCTCTTAGGTGACTCTTGTGAGAGAAGCAGTTTTCACACAGGAGTCCACTACTGATCCATGGCTGTTTACCACAAACACAACATTTATCCATTATTTTGATCTCAAATGTAAACATTGTCACTGAAAATGCTTTTTCAGCATTGCAATTCTTTTTTTTACACAGTACAGTAATACACAGACATGTTTAAACACAATAAATATAAACAACACATTATTCAATGCTTTTTAGCTTTAAGCATTATAATTATTTCACCCGCGCCGGACAGAGACTGAGATGGTGCGCTGCATGTCGTGCCAAACCTCTCACGGCAGCGTCATCAGCTTGAGATCGGCTTTTTGAGATCGGCCTTTTAGAGACCGCCGATCAATCATCCCAACGTGATTATCGGCCGATAGTGATCGGAGCACCCCTATTAAATATCACTGTCTTACTACATTACTACTTAATGCAAACCTTGTAAAATAACTGGCGGTCAGTAGAGGAAAGCCTTGTTTTGCCCTCCATGACGTCACGTGAAAACCACGAGTTGAGTGAGGGAACTATCACGTCAGAATACGGAAGCGTAATTCGCCGTGGGTTCCTTCCAGATTTTGCTATCGGGTTTTATAATGGGTTTTTCTCAATGAATGAGTAAAATAAAGCCTGTGGTAAACATAACTTGACGATACTTTTACGTTTTGTTCTACAATGTAAACTGCACACACTCACAGCCCAATCGTTCTTATCTAGTTACTTTTCAAAAATGAACATAACTGCTTCAAAAGTTGTGTTTTGGGTATGGATGCGTGTAATTTATGTTGTAGAACAAAACGTAAAAGTATCAAGTATGTGGGGCGGAGCTATCAAAATAGGGGCAAGACCCTTTTGGGGTAGGGGCGTGTTTGTTTTGGTGATTTCAAATATAAACATTGGCTACCAGAAATCCCTTACTCTGCCTTTAATTGAAAAACCCCATAGAATTACGCTTCCTAGTTCCCAGTCGCTAATGAGGCATCTACATACACAACTCTATGGTAGAAACATCGATTTTTTTTAATGCGTATTCTATGCAGATTTGATCTAAAATCGGAAGATTATTTGTTGTATGCATTGATTAATATATATTATTTTTAATGTAGGAAAACCGCAAAGATGATGGCAAACCCCAGAACCTCTGTGTTTTAACCAGGATAGTCAAATGTTTAATAGTTTATATATTGAGATTGTTGGATCTGTGCGCATTAAAATGACTCCTCCTTCAGTCACACACTCAC